CTGCCACTTTAGGGTCACCGACAATGCTCCCTCTCAGCTGTGGAGTATTGTGAGCACAAATTCTGCTTGGTGAGCTACTGGGCATTAAAGTTGTGAGCGAGCGTCTGGGCTGCTGCATAAATTAAGAACGTAAGAACATAAGAGACGCCAATGTTGGATCAGGCCAATGGCCCATCCAGTCCAACACTCTGTGTCACACAGTGGCCAGAAATACTAGTGCCATCAGGAGGTCCAGCAGTGGGGCCAGGACACTAGAAGCCCTCCCACTGTTGCCCCCCCCCAAGCACCAAGAAGACAGAGCATCACTTGCCTCAGACATAAAAACATAAGAGAAGCCAATGTTGGATCAGGCCCATCCAGTCCAACACTCTGTCACACATGGCCAGAAATACCAGGTGCCATCAGGAGGTCCAGCAGTGGGGCCAGGACACTAAAAGCCCTCCCACTGTTGACCCCCCCCAAGCACCAAGGTGACAGAGCATCTCTCGCCCCAGAGCCCCTATCTACACCTTGTGGCTAATAGCCACTGATGGACCTCTGCTCCATATGCCTATCTCATTACCTTTTTAAGCCGTCCATGCTTGTAGCTGCCACCACTTCCTGTGGCAGTGGATTTGGATGGGAGACCACTGAGAAAGTCGAGGGCTGCTATGCAGAGGCAGGCAATGGCCAGCCCCCTCTGAAGTCTCCTGCCTTGAAGACCCTACGGGGTCGCCGTAAATCGGCTGTCACTTGACAGCCAAAAGCAGGGATGAGGGAGGTGAGGATGAGCTTATGGAACCAAGGGCACGGTCTCATACAATCCTAGAATCACAGACTTTGAAGGGGCCACAGAGGTCATCAAGTCCAACCCCCCCTGCTCAATGCAGGATCAGCCTAGAGCATCCCTGACAACTGTTTGTCAAGCTGCTGCTTCAAGACTGCCAGTGAAGAACTCAAATATGGGATCTAAGATACGTTTGAAACTTACAGATTTTGAAAAAATATTATACAAAGATTCTACTCCAATTAAAGGCTTAATTTCAAAAGTGTATTTACTTTTGTCAAAATCTAAAAACTCTAAAACTATAAAATATCAATTAGCTTGGCACAAGGACTTAATGTGTGACCTTAGCGAGGACCAATGGGCTCAAATTTGGAGCACTCCAACCTATTTATCCCCATGTTTAAATATTCAATCGCAAATATATAAGCTGGTAGCTAGGTGGTATAAGACACCCATTCAACTTGCACATACGTCAAATGCAATTTCGCCTAATTGCTGGAAGGATTGTGGAAGCCGAGGGACCTATTTGCATATATGGTGGTCATGTCCCATTATCCGAAGACTAGAAATAAGGCCTGTTGTGGAAATAAATACAACGGGATCTAGAAAGAGGCTCTGGGAGAGTGCTCTGGCTTTGGGCAAACAGTGTCAGTCTGCTTTTAAAACATGAACCTGGGACCTGCACACCACCAGAATACAGCAGGTTCCATATGCAACTGACATTCCAACTGCCTTGCGGGGGGGGGGGGGGGTTGGAGGTGTGGAATGACACTCAACCACTACACCAAACTGCCTCTCCTCTGCTGCCCACGAGAACACCTCCCTGCCCTCCTCTAAGCCCTTCAAAGACTTCAAGAGAGCAATAATGTGCCCTGCAGACGTTTGGGACCCACTGCTCTAGAAGACACCCAGTTTCCTGTCACTGGTTGCAAAATGCCCCTCCCTGGCTGATTTAAGCTCTTTTTGCAGTAGATTCCTAGACAGGCAAAACAGAAATCGGTCACCTTGTCCATGAGGGAAATAATCTGGAGAATGAGCTGATCCTGCCGCAAATCATCCCCGTGCTTAAATATCACAGGATATTTGCCTCCATCTTCCGTCTTGAAGAATAACTGGGCCGGCATGAGGGCGCTCTGGGGGGGTGGAAAGAAGGAAAGAAGGTTACCGTCATCTACGAGTAAAAAGCAACCGGCACGGATTTGGATTGGGAAACTATAGCTGACAAAGGGACATGGATTCCATTCAAAGAGATAAAGTACAATTTTCATAACATCATCTAAGATGAGGGTCCTAGAAGAGGGGGGAGGAGGAAGAAGAGAGGAGGACGAAGAGGAGGAGATTGGATTTATACCCCGCCCTTCACTACCCAAAGGTGTCTCAGAGGGGCTTACAAACTCCTTCCCCTCCCCACAACAGACACCCTGTGAGGTGGGTGGGGCTGAGAGAGCTCTGACAGAAACTGCTCTTTTTCAAGGACAGCTCTTACCAGAACTACGGCTTGCCCAAGGGCATCCAGCCAGATGCAAGTGG